TTAGTCTTTTCTTTTTGTTATGAATAAAATGTCTTGGATTAAATGTCTCAATATTTAAGTTCAGCATGTTTTTATATATATATTTTTCCATTTCATCATTTTTTTCAGAAAAGAGTTTTATATGCAAATACGATAAATGAGAATTAGCCATGCCTTTCTTCTGTTTATATCTGGATGTTTATTTGTCATCTTCTGAACGCTGTTGCTTAAGGCATGCCTACCTCTGACCCCCTGTGCTTAAAAAGTCTTTTTTGTCTCTTTGGAACGTTAGCAATTCTTCAGGCTATTGAGGTTAAATATTGTGCTTAAATCAGTAAATGTTTCTTAGGATAACATATGTTTTAGGCAGTTAGTATATTAGTAAAAAGATGATAAGGGAATTTGTTAGAATTTTAGTCTTCAAGATGGTTGGTGAGGATCTAGACACAGATCTTGCAGGCCTTTGTGTATCTGAAAAAGCATGTTCTTCAATAGCGTATTAATGGTTTGTTGAAATGCTTCCTATTTTGGAGAGTCTAGTTATACTCCATGAACTCATAAATGTCCACTGATTATATCATAATTTGCTTATTATTTAGATTTTTAGGTTCATGTTTCACATGAAATATGAAGGTAATATTTTAAGAATAAATATATCTTAGAATAAAAAATTCTAGCATTTGCAATGTGATGCATTTGATATACACACTTTTTTTTCTGGCTAGATATGTCAATGTATACATAAAGCTTTAGGTCTGTTCAAATACATGAACAACTGTAGGCCTTGTAAGTATTGTAAAAGTGGTAACTTACATTGAAATTCCACTTGGTGGTAACTTAAAGCACTTCTGGAAGTTATATAGTAAAGGTATTTGTAGTAGTCTGAATTAAATATATTTGTTTTATCTATTGGAGTTGAATTTTATTGGACCAGAAAAACAGTATATGTGTGTGTGTGTTTAATAAAGCATTTAATATTTCAACAGTGTCTGTGATGTTCAACTTTCCTGACCAAGCAACAGTAAAGAAAGTGGTTAACTGTCTACCTCCGGTTGGCATTGGTACTAGTTTTGGACTACCTCAGACCAGGTATTTTATGATTTCAATTCATTTAGTTTCTGAGTTCTAAGACTTTATTCATCAAAGCAATGCACAAGGTTTAAATCACTTACAGCTGCTGCTCAGACCATCAGTTCTGCATAGTTTTGCAGTATATTTGTATAATAGAAATTTGGGGGTTTGAATGTTTGCAATTTCTGGATATTACAGAGAAGGTAGCATCTTTTTGGCAGTGATGCTTGATCACTTACCCTACTTAAGAAAAACAGGTTTCTTTATGCGTGCCAAATCACTGAAATTTAAGAGTCTAGTTGTTAGACTGATTTGCTTTTATGGCAGTTTTCAGTTTTATTAGCTTGAATGTAATATCCTTAAATACTTTACTGTATCTTTACCTAGAGGAAAATGACTTTTACCTTATCAAAAGGAAATCGTAGTAACGTATAAAACAATATACATGGAGGAGTGTATGCCATTGGTTTGGTGTGTTTGTCTTTTAGCCCTGGAAAAACAGAGTTCAAATCTTTCTTAGGGTAAGTGATAAACTAGCGTTACAGGTCCAGGCTGTATGTTTGCATCCCAGAACTGAAGAGTATAGGTCACTTGGCTTCATGTTTTTAGCAGAAGATTAATCTTCAATTACTAGGTATGTTCTGGATGAAACACAGCAGTGCAGTCTACTGCTCACTGAGGCTGATGGATATCAAAGTCTGGGAAATGTGTATTGTCTCTAGATGGGTTGAATCTCTCTTGTATTTTAATGAGGCATGAACTATTTTTAAATAGATTCGGTTTTATTTTTTTAAAGAAACAGCCGTTTTTGAATAATGTGTTGAATGCTGTTTCTTTAAATTCTTAATACTGTAGTGTGAAATTTCCCTGCATATGAATAATTAGAAATGGCATTAACATTTTTTGGGTTGTTTTCTGTTATATTTTGTGATTTGCATTTTTTGTGATGTCCAAAAAAATCTCTTGAATTGCTGATTGCTACTGTAGTCACTTATAAGAATGTAAAGATTTCAGTTTACAGAAGCAAATTGTAGGTGTAGATGTTTAAATTTATATAAAAGTATATGTAGATTTGTTCAAAATGTGATAACCTGTTTATATTGATACTCTATTAAAAAATTATTGCAGTTTACCAAAATACAAAATTCCTCAGGTACTATCATTGTTTTCTTTAATTGCTTACCAGTACCTGTAAAGATTTGTTAGCTAAAACATGTATCTATTTTTTTTTCCCTAAGTGATGTGTTGCTGGTATTTACAGATGTTTTCATTATGAACAAAACAGTTTTGGAAATTTTGTGATAATCTTTTCTCTGTTTGATTTATCATTCTGAGGAATGACTCTGTATTCTTATTTCACAAACATCAGGCAATCTGGCATCAAACTCCAAAAGTTTAATGGAGTTATTTATGACTAATTCCCCAACACTGCCCAGAATTTAAATCTGAAGAGGATGGATTTCATAATAAAAGTTCTATCATCTTATCACCGTTTCCATTGGTTCCTGAGAGATTTAAAAGCCCCTTCCAAAAGATGCCTTTACTTTAAGGTGAAATTTTAAGCCAAGTAATTTTCTTATTTAATGGTCCACCATGTTTCTAAATCACTAGCAACACGTTTCTGCAATACATTAATCCTTCATGGAACAACTGAATTTGCACAGCTGTAAAGGTTTCTTTTTGAAAATGCTAAATATTTGGATCTTGGCATATCCAACTGTCAGATGTTTTGAGTCTTTTGCTCTCATTAGATTTAAAACTTGAAAAATGAACTTCAACTATACAAAATAACAATCTAATCTCTGGAGAAATCCAGCAAAGAATTAGTAAAAAGAATGTGTACAAATGCCACAAAAAAAAAAATCAGGTAGATAATAAAGTGAATCCACCAGATTTCCCAACTGTCATTCTGTGTTTCTGGTTGTTTTTCAGGCGCATTTCTTTGGCAAGTCCACGACAGATTTTCAAAGCTTCCAATATGACCCAGCGTTGGCAGCACCGAGAGATTTCCAACTTTGAGTATCTGATGTTTCTAAACACTGTAGCAGGTAACACTGCTTCCTTATTTGGTTAATGTTGACAGAGCTTCAACAGACTAGGGAACTTCTAGATTTTGTCTTTTGAACAAATAACTTTTCCTATGTCAAATATTTTTCTGAAGAGCGTGCATAATTACTTTATGTTTATATAAGAATAAATGTATATATATACATATATATGTGTGTATATATATATATATAAAAGTTATGCAAATACAAAGTGTTATATTGAACTGCACCTAAAAGTATAGATAAAAAGTCAGAATATCTTGACTGTTGTGTTGAGAACAGGGTCTAGATAAGACCCACTATTATTTAGAAGAATCTCAGAAGTAACTTCCTTATCCGTGGTATTTGAAATAGTGATATCCATAAGTATTTTCCTGTGTAAATGCCTTTGATACAACAGAGTAACTTACTCTCATCCAGTCTCAGAAGTGCTGGGACCTTTTGGGAATGCTCGCTTGGGGAGCAGGACGTTGCTGGAGGCAATAAATACTGTTGTTACAAGACAGTTTATCTGGGAAAAGAGTGTAATGCCTGGATCACCATCACTGCTGTGTCACATTGTTCATCCATTCCCAAATCCTGGTTCATTCCCTAGTATCAACGTCTATCCTGCAGCCGCTTTAGCTACATTTCATTTAACCCATCTGGCCCAATAGACTCCTCCTCTGTTTGAGTTCAGGTTAGTAAATGAAGTTAATTGTTAGGTCTCATAACTTATTTTTTATTTTCCAACATATTTTGTCCTCAGAGTAAATTTTCAAGTTTCTCAATTTTCATCTCTTTTCTGTAGCATGGACAGTATTTAAAGGTTCACTAATTTCCTTTCAGACTTGGTTCATGCTAACATGATTCATACAACAAATGCCTCTACTCACTCTAATAGCATTTTACACAAATGGTCAGTTATGCTAGTTTCTGTCATCAGTCACTAAGTCAGAAATGCCAGGATGCTGGCAGATTTTATAAAACTATAAGAGATGATTGTCTGCTTCCTGCCCAAGTGGAATGAGGCAAGATCATGACACTTCACATTCCTCTAGTGAATGATCCTTTTCAGCTTTATTGTCTTATTGAAATATAACATCTGCATGTATGTATGAGATAAGGAAAACTATTCTAATCAGATATCTACTGGAACAGGATTTTATTTTCAACTTACAGGTGCACAAAGGTGCATACAAGAACCTGAAGCTAGAACGCTTTTGTACAGATTCCCAGCTCTGGTAAATTTGGGCATATCCAGAGATGATCAGTGCTCAAGGAAAAATTCCTCTTTTATGTGAATTCTCTAGATTAAGTGTTTTTACTTGCAAAATCTCTAAAATCCTGAAATGCTTCATACTGCTTTCAAATATTTAATTTGACTTAATCTGTAAAATATCTGTACTTAATCTGTAAATTTGACTAAATCTGTTTTAATTTTTAGTATCAACAATTGGACTCTTTCATTTTTTAAAGAGGTTCACTTTAGAGAAACCCAGAAAACTGTCACCAAGACAGAGAATTAGATAGAAAATGAAGGGATTTAGATGTCACTTTTATAGCATGCAAGAGAATGTACAGCTAAAGTGAATTGGACTTTAATGTTTTAAACAGAATACTAGCAGTTTAAAAATATTTTTCTTATCCTTTTTAATAAACTAGAGCATTGAAATGATAAGAGATGTAAAATGAATTGCATTCCTTCTGAGGAGCTTATAAAATTGTTTAGTATTTTCCTTAGAAGTTGATATTTTAGTTAAATTCAACTCCTTTTACTCAAGTATTGTTTTTGTTGTTCACCAGGTCGCACTTACAATGACTTAAATCAGTACCCTGTCTTCCCTTGGGTTATCACTAACTATGAATCAGAGGAGTTGGATCTTACACTTCCTAGCAACTTCAGGGACTTGTCAAAGGTATTTGTCATCAGATATGCCTTTTCTCTCTTCAGTAATCATTGCACTACTTTTCAGGCTTGCTCATATCTTCTGCCATATTTGATACATTAATAACATTAAATGCTCAACCATTAATAGTATTTTGTTTCTGTATGTATATACTGATAATCGAGAACAGATTTTAATGGGAAGATGAATTATTGATATGTGCTTATTGCTTCTGATTGTATCAATTTGCAAAGTTTTAATGGACAGTGCTTTCAGCTGAGGCATATGCATTACATTTAATTTCAAATTTTAAGAAAGATAGGAATGTCAAGGTAACTATAGGTTAAAAATTAACCCAATAGTTTCTAGTGTCTCTGATGCGAACACTTTTTTAGTTGTAAGGCTTGCAATATCATTATATTTTAAGTACTTAATTTGTTGTCCTTATTCCACTAAGTAGAAACAGTGTTTTCTCACTTCCTTTGTGTATCCCCTTTAGCCCTTTAGGTATACTTAAGCAGTGCAGTTGTCTTTTGTCAGACAGACACTGTCAGTTGCTTGCATCTTTTCCAAACAGCTTTTTCCTTCCTCACAGACAAGTCCTCTTTTTTTTTTTTTTTTTTAATATTCTTTCCCAAATGCAATATGAAACAGCTTATTTAAAGCTTCATCAAATGGGATTATTCTCTTTCAAGCTTTTCCATTTCCTAATTTTTTCCAATGTAATTGTCGCCTGCTTCGTTTTCTAAGAGTGTAGTTCCACACCTCTGTTTAAGTTTCTTATGATAGTTATCCAAAGCTAGTTTTCTGTGCAACTTTGCTTAAAAACAAAAGTCAAAATATAATTTAAACAAATTGATGCAGTGCATTGTTGGAGATCCTCTTCGGATTTATGTACATTTTCAACACCAAGCTAGCTCAGTTATTTGCTATTTAACTTCCGTATACTTAAATTTTAAAATCTTTTTGTATCATCTGAGAATTAACAGCAATTTAACAGCCAAAACCTTATAAATGTCCAGATATGAATATGAAAGAAAAAAAATCAAAGGTGCATCTGAAGTGTATCAGCATCCGTATTCACTAAGTTTAAGCCGAAAGTTCCTTCCAGTTAGTATAGTTGTGTTTAGTTCTCTTTTTTTCTCTAGGTAAGGAAAAAAGGGGTACAAGAAAGGAATGCTTCATTCTACAAAGTAAAAGCATCTCTTATTTCTCCACAAGCAGTAGGCGCAAGCAGGATATTTTTCTTATTTTACCCTGTGTGATATTTCACGTCATGCTTTCCTAAACCTAGCTATTATGGGAAAAGACTGGGGCATAGAACAAGGAAAATGGTTAATTAGTGGAAAAGATGAAGGAAATATTTTAATTATAACTTGTTTTTTTGAATCTGTCTTCACTACAAATTGGTAATAGGGTGGAAAAAAAAGACAGATTTTTAAAATATCTTACTAGCAGTACACAATTTTTAAGGTAACTATAGGTCTATTTAAAAATTTCCAGACTTTTTTAATTACAGATTTAGAATTGTAACTTTGAAAAATGTACTGTATTCATATACCTGTATTAAGACTCTATTTATAAAACATTACATATATGTATATATGGATGTGCATGCACAAATATATATAATATTATCAAACAATTTTAAAGAGCTATTAAGCATTGGACCTTAAGTGAGATTTCTCAAATGTGCTAAGTCTCCTTGATATGACTGAGCAGTTCAATTAATATTACTTTTCATGCAAATATTTATAGAGAGGAATTGGTGATTGGCTAAATTATATTTTAAGTGAAGATTGAAAAATTAAATAACATCATCAGCTCTGTGCAGCTTGAGTGAAAATATATATTATAGGTATTAATCATGAATAACTTCTTGCTTGTGACATGGTTTTTGCAAGTACTATTACCATAAATATTTATGAAGTAAAACTAAAAAAGGTATTATACTTTTGAGGGATCTCCTTTTAGTTGTATTTTAATTTGTAAATCAATCAGCACAAGCAGCTCTCTAGTGCCAGGTTGCTTGTCTTCTTGCCACCCTGCACTAGAACAGGGTGCACTATAGAGCAGTCTTTCCTCATTTAGGGCAGGCACTACTCTTGTGTCTATTAAGCAGTTAGATAGCAAAACTGCTGTTGCTCTTTTGATATGCAGTTATGTATTAACAGCAACTGATGTGCATCTCTGTGCTGATGAAAGTAGTCTTGGAGGACTACTAAGTGTGCTTTAAGTTCTGAGGGAATCTTTCCACTGGTATTGCTGGGAGAAGACAGCCAAATGGACACGACTCAGGTTGTATCTATACATGTACTTATCTCTCTCAATTATATGTTTGAAAGCTTAGAAATTAGTACATAAATATTACAGTACCAGATGACAGTCGGACTATATTATGCGTAAATGGGATTTCATCCATACTATGTAAGCCTGTAACATGATGTTCTTCGGAGCTAGTTATCTTTAACTGATCAGTTGATGGTTGCCCTGTTGTTAAAGCATATGTATATGTAAATATACACATATGTATATTTAACATACATTTCTGTTATCCGTGCTTATCTGCTGTTGATCAGACAGTGCATCTTTATGACAACTGATGCAGCTAGTGCAGTTAAGGATGATTCTTGCCATATGCGCAATGAAAGTCTTGATGCCACATCTGTCTCAGACACAGTAGTTCAGGCGTTTCTAGCAGTATGAACTTCATGTAGCTTAAATGTTAAACTGTGTCACATGAGGAATTCATGGCAAATATCTGAAAATTAATCAGCAATGCCTTTGTAGTAACCAGTTCTGAGAATGTTTGTATGCTTTATTTTTTGTTGTTGTACCATCATCTCTAGGAATAATGCTTCAAAATAAATGTTAACGATATACTCTAGCATGTCTATACTTTCGGACTGTTCAAGGTTTTAAAAATGGTAAAAGATATTTCACTTAAATAGCTATGTTGTTCTGACAGAAAGGGATGTCATGTCAATGTTTTTACTCCTTTTTGGCAACTAAAAATTAATAGTAAAGAGGTTTTTTCCCAGTTGCAAGTTAAAGTTACATAATGTGACAAGTATGAATAACAGGTTTGTTAATATATTAACTATAAGTCCACAGTTAGTGCAGATTTAAAGAACTGCGGTGTATAGGTTAAATCAACACTTTATTTAAGCAGCTTCTTATGGCATTATTTTGAACATCAGTCACACAATGATAAACCAAAGCAACTGAAATGGATTGTGGTTAATATTACTGTCAGTCTGACAAACACTCCTGACAAATTCCAGATGTACACTGCCAGTCAGTTACCCTGCTTTGACTCGAGTGTTTATTTCTTAAGAGGTGACTATGGTTTGGAGTGGGTATAACATATTATATTTATAGCTATATATATTTTATTTATACAATAGGCACCGTTTCCCAGCAGAGTGTTTCCCATTTTCTGCTTTACTTATGTCATTCAAAAGCACATTTTTTTCCTTTTCCTTATTCAGTGGAAGCAATAAATTATGATATGTTTCAGGGTTTGAGTATGGAAAAAATAGAAGTAAAAGTACTTGGAAAATATCAAACCATGATTTTACACTCACAGAAGTTTGTTATAAAATCTTGCTGTATACAAATAACTTGATAATTTCTCTTCTGCGTGGCACAATTTTTTTGCAAGATTATAAACTCATGCTACTGGAAGAAAATTACACTGTACTTAAATCTTTGTCTTTAATAGAGGTACATAGATGTATATAATAATACTTTTATTCTCATTTTTATCATTTTCATGCCATATTTGCTAAATCATCATCAATTTTATAGTGGTTGTTATGTAAGTAATGACTTCTGTTCAAACCAAATGTACAAAGCAACAAATAGCTCTCACCTTCAGTGAAGTGGTATGTTTAATGGGTATGTGGGAGCATATGGGGAAATATCTGGTATTGATTTGATATCAAATATACTTTGACAGAATAGAAATTACAGATGTTTTTGCTATACCAAATTAGACCAGTTCTGTGCTTCTAGTGTAAACTTCAATCTTGACTGTTCTTCTTCAACATATCGGCCTGAATTCATTGCAAGGGTGGACAATTCAAGAACAAAAATTCACTGTGCCTATATGTAGTGTTGAATGTGTTTCCCTCTGAGTCTATAGAGTGGAACAGGCATTAAATCTGCTTAGGCATCTCTTAATGTCTTTGGAAATGAAACAGAAAGTAATACGTGGCTGACTTTTTTTTTTTTTTTTTTTTTAAGAAATCTCTTTGTCTAGAGAGATGTAAAAAGCTGTCATGTACAGGGACATGTTTGGGGAAGGAACTGAGTTCCAAGCCGAGTTCATCACCTGTGAAATGCAGGTGGAGCTGGCTTGGATGGCTTCAGACAATGCATCACATGCTGGTTAAGTAACATCAGTGTAGTAGAAATGTTTGTGTCTATTTCTCAGCTCTGTTTATGTGAGGCGCTCTCATATTTAGTATCTCACATTCTCAGAAAGAGAGAGGTGTTTTTTTTTACCAGTGATGTTGTCCAGTAAGCCAAAGGGAGATCTAGGGAATTTTCAGAAGCAAGAGGAACAGTGAGGTTACTGCATGAGCCTCGACCCAAGGAGGCGGTGCGAGTATCTGGACGTCTTATTTGAGGAGAGGAATGCTCCAACCCCTCCAAATTACAGAGGAAAAAAGGGACCAGTTGAGAAAAATCATTTGGGAAACTGGTTTATCATCTTACTGTAGCTGTACATGAGTCCCACAAGTGTGTGTGCAAAAGGGTTGAAAGAGGTAGATTCTGGACTTACCATATCACAAGAAGCTTTTAAGGGAAGGGAGACATTCAAACAGGGAACAATACCATGCAGTTTTTAGGGATGCACATATTGGTACCATCTAGAGGACTATAAAAGTGCAGAAGAGAGAAAGGATGATTATGTAGCTTTGTGGTTAGGGGCCTTGCTTATGTTATGGGAACTCAAGGCTCAAGCCCCACTTTGAAGAAAGCTGTGCAAGAACGTGAAGTTCTCTTGTTCACATTCTGTGACA